TGTTTGATAGAATTCCCCTGTGAAGACATCTAGTCCTGGACCTCTGTGTGTTGGAAGTTTTTAAAGTACAGTTTCAATTTCAGTACTTGCGATTGGTCTGTTCATATTTTCTATTTCCTCCTGGTTCAGTCTTGGAGGGTTGTACCTTTCTAAGAATTTGTCCATTTCTTCTAGGCTGTCCATTTTATTGGCATATAGTTGCTTGTAGTAGATTCTTATGATCCTTTGTATTTCCGTGATGTCAGTTATAACTTCTCCTTGTTCGTTTCTAATTTTATTGATTTGAGCCATATTTCTTTTTTTTTTTTGATGAGTTTGGCTAAAGGTTTATCAATTTGTTTATCTTTTCAAAGAACCAGCTTGTAGTTTCATTGATCTTATCTATTGTTTTCTTTGTCTCTATTTCATTTATTTCTGCTCTGATCTTTATGATATCTTTCCTTCCGCTAACTTTGGGTTTTATTTGTTCTCTTTCTCTAGTTGCTTTAGGTGTAAGGTTAGGCTTTTTTTTTTTTTTTGAGGTTTTTCTTGTTTCTTGAGGTAGGCTTGTATAGCTATACACTGCCCTCTTAGAACTGCTTTTGCTGCATCCCATAGGTTTTGGATCGTTTTGTTTTCATTGTCATTTGTCTCTAGGTATTTTTTATTTCTTTGGTGATCCATTGGTTGTTTAGTAACGTATTATTTAGTCTCTACATGTTTGTGTTTTCTACAGTTTTTTTTCCTGTAATTGATTTCTAATCCCATAATGTTCAGTTTCCATTTGTATAGAATACCTTTTTCCATCCCCTCACTTTCAGTCTGTTTGTGTCGCTAGATCTGAAATGGGTTTCTTGTAGACAGCATATATATGGGTCTTGTTTTTGTATCCATTCAGCCAGTCTGTATCTTTTGTTTGGAGCATTTAATCCTTTTACATTTAAGGTAATTATTGATATGTATGTTCCTATTGACATTTTCTTAATTGTTTTGGATTTGTTTTTGTAGGTCTTTTTTCTTCCCTTCCTCTTTTGTTCTCTTCTCTTGTAATTTGTTGACTATCTTTGGTATTGTGTTTGAGTTGCCTTTTCTTTTTTGTTTGTGTATCTATTGCAGTTTTGAGGTTTGCTGTTCCCATGAGGTTTTGATACAGCAGTCTATATAGGTACAAGGTTGTTTTAAGTTGCTTGTCTCTTTCCCACCTAGAGAAGTTCCTTTAGCATTTGTTGTAAAGCTTGTTTGGTGGTGCTGAATTCTCTTAGCTTTTGCTTGTCTCTAAAACTTTTGTTTTTTCTGTTGAATCTGAAGGAGAACCTTGCTGGGTAGAGTATTCTTTGTTGTTGGTTTTTTTCCCTTTCATCCCTTGAAATATATTGTGCCACTCCCTTCTGGCCTGCAGAGTTTCTGGCTTAAAAATCAGCTGATAACCTCATGGAGATCCCCTTGTATGTTATTTGTTGCTTTTTCCTTGTTGCTCTTAATATTTTTTCTTTGTCTTTAATTTTTGTCAGTTTCATTAATATGTGTCTTGGCATTTTCCTCCTTGGGTTCATCCTATATGGGACTCTCTGCACTTTCTGGACTTGAGTGTTTCCTTTCTCATGTTAGGGAAATTTTTGGCTATAATATCTTCAAAAATTTCCTCAGTTCCTTTTTCTTTCTCTTCTCCTTCTGGGACCCGATAAAATGAATGTTGGTGTGTTTAATGTTGTCCCAGATGTCTCTGAGACTGTCCTCATTTCTTTTCATTCTTTTTTCTTTATTCTGTTCTGTGGCAGTGATTTCCACCACTCTGTGTTCCAGCTCACTTATTCGTTCCTTTGCCTCAGTTACTCTGCTACTGATCCCTTCTAGTGTGCTTTGTCATTTTAGTTATTGTATTGTTCATCTGTTGTTTGTTCTTTATATCTTCTAACTCCTTGTTAAACTTTTCTTGTGTCTTCTTGATCTGTGCTTCCATTTTTTTTCTGAGATCTTGGATCATCTTTACTATCATTACTGTGACTTCTTTTTCAGCTAGATTGCCTATCTCCTCTTCATTTAGTTGTTCTTGTGTGGTTTTATCTTGTTCCTTTTTTTGCAACATATTTCTCTGTCATCTCATTTTGTTGAACTTTCTGTGTTTGTGGTCTCCTTTCCACAGGTTGCAGGACCATAGTTCTTATTGTTTCTGGTGTCTGCCCCCTGGTGGGTGAGGTTGGTCCAGAGGCTTATGCAGGCTTCCTGGTGGGAGGGACTGGTGCTTGCCCTTTGGTGAGTGGAGCTGGGCCTTGTCCGTCTGATGGGCAGGGTTGTGACAAGGGGTGTGTTTTGAGGTAGCTATGAGCTCAGTATGACTTTAGGCAGCCTGTCTGCTGATGGGTGGGGCTGTGTTCCTGTCCTGCTGGTTGTTTGGTCTGAAGCATTCCAGCTCTGCAGCCTGTAGGCTGTTGGGTGTGGCCAGGTCTTAGTGCAAAGTGGGGACCTCCAGGAGAGCTCACACTGATCAGTATTCTCTGGGGTCCAGTATTCTCTGGTGCCCACAAAGCCCCACCTCCGCCACCAGTGTCCCTGCCCTGACAGTGAGCTGCAGCCAACCCCCACCTCCCCAGGAAACCCTCTCAGACCCTAGTTAGGTCTAGCTGTGATTCCTATGGAGGTATTGCTTTGTGCTCTGTCCCAGCACACATGAGGTCTTGTGTGCCCCCTCCAAGAGTAGAGTGTCTGTTTCTTCCAGCCCTGTGGAGCTCCTGCACTCTGGGGTTCTTCCTCCTAATGCCTGACTCTGAGACTGTCTTGAAGGGCTATTTTTATGTGGGAATGTCCCTATGTAGTCTCTGTGTGTTTAATATTTTTTGGTGCAAGGGCTGTTTTTAGTATGGATGTCTGCCCCCTCTTTCCTCAGTGTATGCTGGCCGTTATCCCCTTGATACGAGGTGTGACTGATGTTGTGGTGACCTAAGCCTGCACTGGATATTGAGCGGAGCCTCCTCTTTGCTCTGTGGTTGTTAATTCCCTGTCAGGGACAGGGTCTGCGGCCCTCAGATCTGTTTCTGAGCTGTGTTTCTAATTGTGGTATGCAGTAGGTGAGATTGGAGCTCTCCTACTGGGAGAGAAGCCACTGAGTTTTCCTCCTCGAACTGTTCACCTGTGAGTGAACTCTGTTGTGTCACTTTTCACCCATTGTGTTGGCTCACAAATTACACTGTTGTTGGAACTGCTCTCAGCGCCCCCTTAACTGTGGGTATGCCGGCAGTTGGCCCTGGCATCTCTCAGGCGTTGTTTTCACCAGGCCACCAGTGCAGATCCACCGAAGTCATATCCCAGGACTGCAGTAGTCGTGTACCTGGACCCACTGTGGTAGCTGTGGAGGCAGCTCAGATTCTGGCCTGGTCCAGTCTCCGTGTGTACGGGCCCACAAAGCCCACAGCTGCTAAAGCTAGACCCGTCTCAGCTATGGGAGCACTCGTCCATTTGGACGTTCCTCAGTTGCTGAGTTTACAGTGCTGACAGCGGGGGTGTAAATCCGTGGTTCCTGCAGCCTCAAGGAGAAATTTGAGCTCTTCTTCCTTAGTTGCATTGCCCCTGGGGCTCAGCTGTGGTTTCAGCCCCACCTCTGTGTGTGTTCCTCCTGCTAGCATCTGTTCCTCAGGCTGTCCCAGAGCACATGCACCCACCCAGGTGGGCGGGGGTGGAGGCGGCAACAGGTGGGGCACGCGAGCCTGCTCAGTCAGGTAACCATCCTAATGCCCCCGGAGGCAGGGGCCAGTGCATAGGGAAGGGGGCTGCAATGGTGGCCTCACCCCTTGCGTGCCACTCAACAATGGCACTCTGCTTCTATGGCAGCCTGGGATTCTTCCATGAACATTCCCAATCGTGGAGCTCTTTACTCCCGTCCCTTCAGGCTGTCCCTTCACAGCCAACAGCTGTCCCCTCCCTGATTCCGCTCTCCAGACCCCATGTTCCATCATGCAGCCCTGCTCCGCACCAGCAGACACAGGACTCGGTCTGGGGAGCTCAGGGCTGCGGCATGGACCATCTGGACCATCCGTGTGGGTCTTACTCTGTCCTGTCTGCCACAGACTGGTTGCTGCCCTCTCTTCCAAGCCCCTGAAGCTCCCTCTCTGTCCCAGCTGGTCTCCCCACCAGTGAGGGGGCTTCCCTGCGTGCGGGAACCTCTCCTCTCCTTCAGCTCCCCTGCAAGGGTGCAGGTCCCGTCCTGTTTCCTCTTCTTTTTTTCTTTCTTAAGTCCTACCCGGTTGCGTGGGGATTTTTCTTGCCCTTTCAGGTGTCCAGGGTCCTCTGCTAGTGTTCAGCAGGTGCTCTATGAGAATTGTTCCATTTGTAGATGTAGATGTATTCTTAATGTACTTGTGGGGAGAGGCGAACTGCACATCCTCCTATTCCTCCATCTTGACTCTGTCCCCCATCCCCCCAGTCATGTTCTGTGGGAAACCTTTGCTGGTTTTCATGCCCATGTGGCCTCCCACAGAATCCTGAACTTCTGGTGCTTATAGCACTCTGTTATTATTGCTTATTGAATTATCTGTAAACTCCTTAAAGGAAGGGCCTTCTCTTTCTTGTTAACCTTGGTATCCTCAATGATAATGCCTGGTGATGTAAAATATTTAACAAAATTCCCTAAAATTGGAAGGACAAAGGGCTTGCAGTCACTCTAGCAGTCTTACCAAGTTTTCTGGTTAGTTCTTTTTCTGTTTGTGATTATTTTTCACCCATTTTATGACTGTGAAAATACTGAGACTGAATTTTTTGTCACTCTTTCTCTTTCAGTAAGTTACTTAAGTTTTCTGGATTCAGCTTGTTAATCCGTAAAACATAGATAATAGTTGATACAGGGTTGTTGAGAGAATTGAAGAAGTACTTGTGACTCAGGGTTCTTACTCTCTCCCATCCAAATAGAAGGTACAGGCAGGGCTCCCTGTAAGAGCTAGAGGTAATATTGCTCTAGTGATTAGGCCATCGTTGTCCTGAATGGTGAATTTCTTTGACACACTTTTTCTTTTTCACTTGTCCTCTAATAGTGTCTCAATCGTGAACAAGGTATTCACTGGGTCAAAAAAGAAAGACTTCCAGCATTTCTGGAAAGTGATTGCTACTTTGAATACAGGTATTGTAATCCCATCAATATACATATTTTTAAATGATTTTTGTTCACCAAAAATAATTTTTCTGTACTTTCTTAATAAAATTGTATACCTTTAAACTCATTTGAGTTTATATTCCACTTGCTATATAGTATAAGATAGAGCATTGGTAAAAATCACTTAACTTTTGCAAAGAGATTTTGTAGAAACAGTACCTAATAAATGTATTTCAATTCTGCTTCTTTGATCATTATATTTAAAATTTTTTTCTACTTCTGTAAAGGTATTTATGTTCAGGATGTTAAAAAATGAATGAGTGTCATAAAAAAGACAGAATGTTGTAGTACAGGGCCATGTTTTTCTTTTATGCTCCCTGACTTCTAAAGTTTAAGTACCTAAACATTCTGAAGTTTTACTAAAATTTGACTTTTGCTTAGAACAACTGTTTTTTTAAATAAAAATAAAATAAAATAGAATAATTATTAATTAGTAAGTCTATGAATAAGCCATTAATTTTAGTAGATCCTAAGAGAATCATCCTGCAGAGTTAGGACAGGAGATTGATTTGAATACATAAAACAAAAATTTTTTTTTTCTAAATTCTACCATATTTGAAACTTATTTCTAGTTTGTATGATTTCTGAAATGCAGGTTAGCCAAATTGGTTTCACAAGTAAGATGGAGTGAATCAGGCATGAATATCACATTAGGTGCAGATTTTTCTCCCTGGGTCCTGAAAAAACCAACCAGTCCACCACCTCCTCCTGTTGAAGAAGATGATGTTATAAGTATGAAAAAGTTCTGCATTTCTCTTGGCAAGGTAAAAGTGTGAGTGTTTCTTTGTGTCTTGGCACTTCAGTGAAACTTCTCATTTTAGGGATATGAATTTCATGTACCACTTGAATAGGAAAATGCTTTCAAATACTTCTGAAGTAGATTTAGCAAATATTCTTTTAGGTTTATGCTGACTTATTTGCCCTACACTCTTTCACCTGAAATGTAATTAGAATTATTATCCTCATGTGTACAAAGGAAAAATGCACAATTGAAGAACATCCCCAATGTCACCTGGGAAGCAAGGGTTTCATTGTTCATTCCAAATTTTTTATTATTTGGAATTTGTAATTTTTGTACCATACAACAATAAATTGGGCCTTCTCTTCCCTATTGTCAAGATTATTCTTCAGTAATAAAATGCATAACTGTTTAGCTGTTACCAGATAAATTTGCCCTTCACACTTGGAGAATGTTGGGTGGTATGGGTACGTTTGAAGAGATCTAACCTAGAATCAAATGTCCTTTTGGGGAATCACAGTTTAGTGAATACCGTTGTTTGATCTTTGCCTCTGCCAGGGCGGAACAATTTTCCTTCTACCCTTCTAGGTTCTTTGGCTGATCTATTAAAAACAAAACAAAAAAATGACATAAGACAGGGTAACAGGAAAAAACAAATGTAATTTAGTATGTATGGGAACCCTATAAGAATATAAGACCCAAGAGCAAGTTGGGCAGTTGAGACATATATGCCATCCTGAGCTAAGGAATGGGGTAGGGGCCTGGGGCTTCAAAGTGGAGGAGGGTAATTCACAGGACTATAAGAAGACCAGATGTTTGGTAATTAGATGTTTACCTGCCATATAGATAGGTCGGTCATTCAGATAAAAGTTATCTCTGGTGCTGGCTGTCTCTGAGCCAGGCCCCCTATGTAAATTCTTTTAGGTAGTTAAAGGAGAGGTAAGTGTTTTTCTTGAGTCTGTTGGGTCGTGATCTCCTTCAGCTCACAATAATCCATAATGCCATGGCATATTTTGGGGTCACATATTCTGCTTCTCTTTAGCCTCTAATTACCAGATCTTCTCTCTGGGAAGACATTTCTAATACACAGTTCTTTACAAAACCAGGAATTGCAAATATGTTACCCATGTGTTGCTATTCTCCTAGTTTGCATTCATGACAGAGATTGCTAATCAATTATGGCAATTTTCCTGCTGAGCTAGGACTTGGCTCCAAATTCTTTTTCAACACAGCATTCTAGGCAGGCACTTCCAAGTGATCAAAGATGTCATACAAGAGGAAAACTATTTGCCATCTCTGTTGGAATGGATATCCTTCTCCTATCTTATTTGAACATTTTTTTCATGTGTAAGCTCCTATTTAATTTTGTAGTTTGACAGTTCTATCAGCAATATTTGGCAAAAATGTTAAAAAATTATGCCAGTCCCATTATTTCCTCTGAATAATGCTCAGGGATGTACTGAAAGCACATTTTTCTTTTCTCTTATATTTATTTTTAGGTATTTATTTTTTATCTTAACCCATATGTTATAATAATGTTAGGGATGTCAAAAAATATACTGATAGTAGGGGTCAATAAACATACAAAGGAAAGAATCAATCTAGGGGAATAAGTTCTGATTCCTTACAGGTAAATTTAATCAAATATAAGAGAATAAAAATCCAAGCTAGTTTACTTTTACTAGTTTCTGTGATGGAAAAAGCTCATTTCTGTCAACTTGAGTAATATTTGAACTGTATATTTTTTTTAATAGCCTTTAAACTTTGAGGACTCAGTTTTCTTTGGGACCTTAAATCACTAAACCATGACTATAGATAGGGATTAATCCATATGATAATTGGTAATATTTCTTTGAGTCTTCAGTTATACCATCTAAACACAAACAATTGACGCATCTTTTAAGAGTACAAAGTAGAATAGTTAACTGCTTTTATGTCTGGCTAACTACTTCTTTCTCCCCTGTCTTCTACTCTCTCATCTTTTTTGTGCAGTTGAAATAGCAAGGACTCTTGTATGTTGGTCTCTCTCTGTTCCTTGAAAGTTCCTTAATTATTTTGGTCTCCTCTCAGTGCTTAGGATACTACTTGTAATAGAGTAGTCATTCAATAAATATGTTGAATGAACATGTAATCAGTAATAAATGACTTGGTTTTAGAGGAAGGAAAAGGGGAAACAAAAGGCAATTAGATTCAAAGCTTTTATCTACCAAGGAAACCTTACTTCTAAGACGGGCAGTGAGTACACTGATGACACCTGATATTTCTTTCTCTTGCTTTTGGTCTTATTGTGTGGCCTGACGTACCCTGCTAATTCTGCATAATAGTCAGGGAACAAATCTATTCCATTTGAGCCTTGCCTCCTCTGTGAGTGTTCCTTAGGCTAAGGGCCAACCAGGTTGGAGAAAGGAGAAATGAGAGTAATGCTGGGCACTCCCTTTTCTGCTTCTGTTGAACAAGCTGGATTATCCTAGAAGAGTAGGTGAGGACATGACTAAGAAGCAGGAAGAAGAATCTTCCCAGGAAATCTGAGGTGGAGTTTCTTAGGACTGGGGTTCTAGAAGCTGTGTGTCAGGTTGAGAATTGGGTCAGCTGGTTCAGGAGTACACAAAAGAAAGGAAACATTGAAGCCTTCATCCAGGGGCAGGTGAGTCAGGAATCAGCCTTCAGGAAGCATCCAATCCAAGCAAAGTTGTGAAAACTGAATCTAAGGTAAAGGGGAAGTTGAGCATGGAGAGGTTTCCAGTGCTATTGAGAGTTAAGTTTTTGTCATATTAGGGAGGAGTTGTTAAAAACACTGAGCCAGGCCAGACAGAATTGGGGGCATGAAATAACTGGGAAAGTTGTGAATGGGAGTAGCTGGCAAAAGATGCATCCAAAGACTGATGAGCCGTGGTGACTGCCAAGTTAAAGTTAGATGGTGTGAATTTGTAGTGAATCCAGGAAGTAGGATTGCATGCTTCTGGTGGAAGAGTGAAGAATTTGATGGGTAGTGAGCTCATTTCTTTCCTTTGATCATCTAATATGAAAATAATCTGAATTGAAATTTCCTTACCATTATTCTCAGCTAATGAGTTTTTCTGTGTACAACATTCTTTTCTTTCACGGCATAATTTTTCCTTTACATATTGCACTATGCAAATGAATATTATCATAATGACTTGTCCAGATTCATGACTGGAAGAATACTGCTAATCTTATGTTAAACAAATGTGCTCCTTTCTTCCTAGGCCTCCTATACTCAAACAAAAGATTGGTTTGCATTAGCAAAACAAAATCAGCAAACAGTATCAACCTTTTCATTACCTTCTTGTGTATTACACAACAAAATTGGATCACCAGTTAATTCATCTGTTTCTGGTAAGCAGAAAAGGACAAGAATGGCCTCAGAACTCCTTTTTACATCTTTTGTTGTTATTCTAAACTTACAGTACAACACTTAGTGGATGGGGAGAAAAAATTATCTCCCCTGCAACACCACTTTCTACTGTTTTTCAAGAGACAACCTGATATAGTGAAAAGAGGATGAGTTTAGAACCCAACTCTGATACTTATTAGTTTGTGACTTCTGCAAATTATTCCACTTCTGGGAGCTTTGCTTTTGTCATCTGTAAGATTAAACTAATGATGCATATATACTGAATGTATAGAAAATGCTTAGTGCTTCGTACCTAATGGACAGTCAATAAATATTTGTCTTGTCATTATTTCCTGTCACAGTTTACAAATTCTTATTATTAATCCTTTGAAATGAAGTGGGTGCAACCTTTCTCTTCTCCCCAAAGTAAATAGTGATTTATGGAACTTGAGTTTTCCTTCTGTTTTTAAGTTCAGACTGTTTCTCACCTTGAAAAGCAGATAAATTTCTACTGTGGGGAACTTTTGTGGGTGATACAAACTTTTCATAAATAAAGGGAACCTTCCAGAAATGGGAGTAATTAAATACGATATTGTTAGAGGGAAAAAAAATCTTGCAATGTGATTCAAGAGGGGAACTCAGAAATTCACTAACAATTCTTATATAATTCCTTTGAAAAGTATAAGCAACCTCTGGAGGTGATAAGTCTGGATTCTCTAGGATTGAACCCAAATCTAGGTAAAGGGGAAAATCATCTTCCTAATTGGAAATTGCTGAATTTATAGATTTCTTACTATTTTCCCCAAATAGTAAAGTAGAAAATTGGAGAGTGACGTTAGTAAGCAGGAAGAGAAAGGATAGCAGGAAGGCAGTGAGCAGAAGTGCCAGGCTTGCACTTTACCTCCAAGTCTGTGGGGTTGAGTGTATACCCAGTATCCTTTCACAGGTTTACAAAAGTCTAATCTCAATTTTGGGGAAGTTTAGTATATTTATTTTCAATTAAAATTGTAATGAAACATTTCCAGTTCATTGAGACTTGAAATCTATTACTGAGAAAACTGAGAGTGGGACACATGGGTCAGGGTTTTCCTGATCCACGGCTTTGCAAGGGGTAGATTTGCCATGTGAAATAAAGCACTGATATCAGATATTTCACTGATTTCTGAAAGACAGAAGAATAGGGGCTAGACTATATCTTTAGAAAAAGTGTAAAAGCAATCCATTTGTATTTGTAAGTCTTCACAAGGGCCTTATGCAATTTTGTAATTTTAACGATAGGTTGTAAGTATAGTAGTAATTGAATCTTTCTGATAAAATAGTGAATTTTTTTAATTGCTATTATGACTCCAGTTCTGGTCCGTTCTTCTATCATCTCATCACCTATGGCAGCTAATTTTATTTTACCATAGAACATGAAATATTAAAGTACATACAGTTTTTTGATGTACACATTCTAATTCTTTAATAGATTTGGCCTTTGTATGTTGACATTTTCAGCCTGGAATATTACATTTTAAAAGTGTATAATGTCTTTTTGAAGATCCTCTTTATTAAGGATATCAAATATTTAATTCATCTGCCACCAATATCCCCTTTCATGTCCAGGGAAGACATGGCTAATCCCTGTTGGCAGTTTTTCTCTCTACTGATCCCAAATGTAGCCTTAGACTCCTCATTGACACTGGTTGGTCCCTGCAGTCACTACCGATGATAAACCCATTTGCCATCCTAGCTCTATAACATCTAGTTAATAATTAAAAGAAAACTTTTACATTTATGTCTGATCTAATAGCCTTTTATGATTTAATACAGAGAGTTTTATCTTTGATGATGGAGTTCACCCCAGGACGAAAAAGAGCCCATCTACAGCCACTAGGTTAATTTCCGAATTTGAAGAAGATGGGCCTGTATCTCTACAAGACACTCCTTCTCAAGCTCTTCTGAGGACATACCTTGAAAAGCAACAGGATGTTGATGAAAGCCTGACATTGCATTTCTCAACATGTGAAGAATTTTTAAGATCTTATATAAACTTTATTTTGAGAGTGGCAATTCATCAAATTCTTGGAGCACCACTTAGAGAAAGCCCAGATTATATAAATTTCAGAAATGTAACAGAAGTGGTATTTGATGAGTGTTTGGGGACTACCTCTGGCAAGAATGTTTTGCAGAGTGAAATGCTAAAGGAAAAGTCGGAAGACATGTTAGCACAAGCAGTTTCAAAAACTGAGAGCGTTGGACTAGAAAGCAGGGCTAATTGGTGTATTTCTCATAAAACTTATGACATTGGCAATAGAAAGGAGTTCGAAAGATTTAAGAAATTTATTAAAGGTACATTAGGGGAGAGATATTGGTGGCTCTGGATGGATATTGAGAGGTTAAAAGTTCTTAAGGATTGTGGAAGACATCAAAGGTATTTCTACTTTTTTATTTTTCAATAGTTTTAAAACCAAATTATAGAATATTAGTTTGGGTCATGTAAGCACCGGCAGAAAGCCTGAAATAAATATTTAAATGTAATTTATACTTTTAGAGGAATCAATAATAATAAGATTTATTTTATTATAATAATATTGATTTATGTAAAAGATACCTTATGCCAGTGTAAGGGGCTGGCTCTTCCTAACAGCCTGCTCAGTTAACAAATTCTATGGTCTTTAGTCAGATGCCACTTCGACATTCATATCTGAATGTGATAGCTGCTAGATATGATGCTGGATATCCTCTAGAGAGCCTCTTAAAAGTCTGATGGGGCACAGGTCTTCAGCTCCTCCAAATGTTTTAGGTCACTATAAGTCTTAAGAACCTTAAGAGGACCCTGCTTTAGGAAAGTCCTTATCTTGTGTTTTCCTGATCTGCTCTGAACTCTGAAGCAGATCCACTGTAGTAGACTGCAGTTCCCATTAAAGGTTTGACTGAGTAAGTACTAGTGACTGGATTATTCCAGTTATCTCAGTGGCATTCAGATCGCAATGCCACTGTTGTTGATCATAATGATCATAACGTCATTGTTGTACACAGTTATAAGTGCAGGGATTACCAAATGGTTGATTATGAAGCATGACCTGATTGATCCCAGGGTAGAAGGCCACTACCACTTGCCAAGACATGTTAGGGAAGGGATACGCAAGCAACCTACATAGATTCTTCAGAATTAATACTGTATTAGTTCCTATTGTTGCTGTAATAAATTACCACAAACTAAGTGGCTTAAATCAACACGAATTAATTCTCTTACAGTTGAAAGGTTAGAAATCTAAAATGGGTATGCAGGGCTGCGTTCCTTCTGAACACTCTAGGGGAAAATCCATTTCCTTGCCTTTTCCAGCTTCTGAGGCCACCTACTTTCCTGGGCTTATGCCCCCTTCCTCCATCTCCAAAGCCAGCAGCATGGCATCTTTTCTCTTCTCTGACTGCTGCTTCTATCCTCACTTCTTTTCTCTATGACTATTACCCTCCTGCCTCCATCTTAGAAGGACTGTTAAGATTACATTAACACCAATTAGATAAGCCAGGATGATCTCCTCAAAATCCTAATCACATCTGCAGAGTCCCTTCTGTCATGTAAGGTAACATTCTTAGGTTCTGGAGATTAGGATATGGACATCTTTGTAAGGCCATTGTTCAGCCTACCAAAAATACCCTTCCCATTCCCATATCTGTGAGAAATATTTATATCTCCCTGTAACTCACTTTTGGTTTTAAGATAGTTCATTAATTGCCTGAAACATTTTGGAAGTGAAAATATTTGGCTAGTTGAATATTGTGTCAATGTGTGTGTATTATTTCAGACATATTGAGAAGATGAAAAAATGCTATCTAGTGAGCAGTGGAGACTGCTACCTTTCTGCAGAAATCTTATCAAAATTTAAACTGCTAGATGGATCTCAGTGGAATGAAGAACACTTAAAAAATATTCAGACTGAGGTTGTAAAACCCTTACTTCTTTATTGGTAAGAAAAAATAATATGAATCAAAGTTATTTGCTTTCACTTTTCTTAAGCTAGTTACAAGTTATACTTTTTTGTCTTAAGGCTGTAACATTTATGGAAATTTTGAATGACAAGATTATTATATCTTTGGCCTTCTCTAAAGTACCTATCCTTTAGATAATTTTGATATTTGAGGACTTTAAATCCGTAATAAGACTAGACAGTACTTAAGCTCCATTTGAACTTTGTGAGCATATCCTTCTACCCCTGACCTTCTTACGCTCAGGACCTCATCAAATTGATGTGTGTGTGTGTGTGTGCATTTGTGTGTGTGTGTACATGTAGCTTGAGTTGGATTTGTCTCAATAAACATTCCATGAACACTTTCTATGGGCCAAGTGTTGTGCTAAGGATACAAGGGTAAAAAAACACAGTCAAGTCTAGTGATCCTAGTCTAGTGGGAGGAACATACATATAAAATGAGTGTAGTAAAAGAAAGTGTGGTGAATGTACAGGATACAGAGAAGAGGTAATATTTCACCTGGGACTCAAGGGACTCTAAACAAGAGAAAGAGAACGGACCTAGTGGAGAAAATGTGTGCCTTCTGAGGATCAGTGAGCTGTCCAGCGTGGCTGTGATGGATCTGATCATGTTACTTCTCTGCTTTAAGTCTTTAACTAGTTACCCCAAAGCTTTCAGTGTAAGGTTCAAATTCCTTAAGTTAACAAATAAGATTATCATGGGCTTCCCTGGCGGCGCAGTGGTTGAGAGTCCGCCTCCCGATGCAGGGGACAAGGGTTCATGCCCCGGTCCGGGAGGATCCCGCATGCCGTGGAGCGGCTGGGCCCGTGAGCCATGGCCGCTGAGCCTGCACGTCCGGAGCCTGTGACCGCAACGGGAGAGGCCACAACAGTGAGAGGCCCGCGTACCGCAAAACAAAACAAAACAACAACAACAAAAAGATCATCATGATTTTTTTCAATGATATGTGTTTCTTTAATTAGCTCAATCACATCCCCCTTTTTTTTTTTTAACAACCTTATTGGAGTATAATTGTTTTACAATGGTATGTTAGTTTCTGCTTTATAACAAAGTGAATCAGTTATACACATACCTATATCCCCATATCTCTTCCCTCTTGCGTCTCCCTCCCTCCTACCCTCCCTATCCCACCCCTCCAGGTGATCACAAAGCACCGAGCTGATCTCTCTGTGCTATGCGGCTGCTTCCCACTATCAGTTTCACATTTGGTAGTGTATATATGTCCATGCCACTCTCTCACTTTGCCCCAGCTTACCCTTTCCCCTCCTTGTGTCCTCAGGTCCATTCTCTAGTAGATCTGCGTCTTTATTCCTGTCTTGCCCTTAGGTTCTTCATGACCTTTTTTTTTTTTTTTTTAGATTCCATGTATACGTGTTAGCATATGGTATTTGTTTTTCTCTTTCTGACTTACTTCACTCTGTATGACAGACTCTAGGTCCATCCACCTCACTACAAATAACTCAATTTCATTTCTTTTTATGCCTGAGTAATATTCCATTGTATATATGTGCCACATCTTCTTTATCCATTCATCTGTCGATGGACACTTAGGTTGCTTCCAAGTCCTGGCTATTGTAAATAGAGCTGCAGTGAACATTGTGGTACATGACTCTCTTTGAAGGAATAAGCCTACCTAAGGAGACAAAAGACCTGTATGCAGAAAATTATAAGACACTGATGAAAGAAATTAAAGATGATACAAATAGATGGAGAGATATACCATGTTCTTGGATTGGAAGAATCAACATTGTGAAAATGACTCAACTACACAAAGCAATCTACAGGTTCAGTGCAATCCCTATCAAACTACCAATGGCATTTTTCACAGAACTGGAACAAAAAATTTCACAATTTGTATGGAAACACAAAAGATGCCAAATAGCCAAAGCAATCTTGAGAAAGAAAAACGGAGCTGGAGGAATCAGGCTCCCTCACTTCAGACTATACTATAAAGCTACAGTAATCAAGACAGTATGGTACTGGCACAAAAACAGAAATATAGATCAATGGAACAGGATAGAAAGCCCAGAGATAAACCCACGCACATATGGTCACCTTATCTTTGATAAACGAGGCAAGAATATACGAAGGAGAAAAGACAGCCTCTTCAATAAGTGGTGCTGGGAAAACTGGACAGCTACATGTAAAAGAATGAAATTAGAGCACTCCCTAACACCATACACAAAAATAAACTCAAAATGGATTGAAGACCTAAATGTAAGGCCAGACACTGTAAAACTCTTAGAGGAAAACATAGGCAGAGCACTCTATGACATAAATCACAGCAAGATCCTTTTTGACCCACCTCCTAGAGAAATGGAAATAAAAACAAAAATAAACAAATGTGACCTAATGAAACTTCAAAGCTTTTGCACAGCAAAGGAAACCATAAACAAGACCAAAAGACAACCCTCAGAATGGGAGAAAATATTTGCAAATGAAGCAACTGACAAAGAATTAGTCTCCAAAATTTACAAGCAGCTCATGCAGCTCAATAACAAAAAAACAAACAATCCAATCCAAAAATGGGCAGAAGACCTAAATAGACATTTCTCCAAAGAAGATGTACAGATTGCCAACAAACATATGAAAGAATGCTCAACATCATTAATCATTAGAGAAATGCGAATCAAAACTACAATGAGATATCATCTGACACCGGTCAGAATGGCCATCATCAAAAAATCTAGAAACAATAAATGCTGGAGAGGGTGTGGAGAAAAGGGAACCCTCTTGCACTGTTGGTGGGAATGTAAATTGATACAGCCACTATGGAGAAGGTATGAGGTTCCTTAAAAAACTAAAAATAGAACTACCATATGACCCAGCAATCCCACTACTGGACATATACCCTGAGATTATCATGATTTGTCCCTGCCTATGTCTTTGGCATTATGTCTTATCTAGGTATTCCAGATCACTTGTAAACTTTTTATTTTTCCATATATAAAGAGAATGTTCTTTTTCTCTTTCTCTGTAAACTTCTATTCTTAAATATTTAAGAAATGCAGAAAGGTATAAATTATACTAAAATAGGCACCTGTATACACACCACCCAACTTAAAAAATCATTACTAATACAGTGGAAGCTTTCCTTTTTTAAATTTAACTTTTTGTTTTGAGATAATTGTAGATTCATATGCAGCTGTTAGAAATAATACAGAGATTCTGTATACCTTTCACCCAGTTTCTTCCAATGGTAACATCTTGCATAACTGCAGTGCAATATTGCAATGAGGAAATTGACATTGATATAACTCTCCAGTCTTTTTTCATATTTTGCCAGTTTTACAAGCATTTATTTCTCTGTGTATAGTTAGTTCTATATAGTTTTATCACATGCATTTGCTGTTACAGTCAAGATACAGAGCAGTTACATTACCACATGCCTCCCTTTGTACTGCTCTCTTATAACCATACCTACCTCTTTCCTTCCCCCTTTCTCATAATTCCTGGAAACTACTAATCTATTATATAAATGAACTAATACAGTATGTAATCTTCGGGGATTGGTTTTTTCATTCAGCATAATTCCTTTGATATCCATCCAAGTTGTTTTGTTCTTTTTCATTGCTGAGTAGTATTTTGTTTTATGGATGTTATACATTCACTCACTCATTGAAGGACATTAGGGTTGTTTCCAGTCTTTTGATATTATTAATAAAGTTGCTATGAACATTGATGTACAGGTTTCTGCATGAGCGTAAGTCTTCCTTTCTCTGGGATAAATGTCCTAGAGTGAGATTAGTGGGTCATACATAGTCTTTTTTTAGTTTCAACAGCAACTGCCAAACTATTTTCCAGGGTGGATGTACCCTTTTACATTCCCAGCAGCAGTGTATGAATGATCCAGTTTTTCTGCATCCTTGCAATTGTTTGATGTTGTCACAGTTTTCTGTTTTAGCCAGTAAATACTTATTTACTTATTTTTATAAGTGTGTAGTGATATCTCATTGTAGTTTTACTTTGAAACTCTCCAGTTGTTAATGATGCTGAACGTGTTTTATATGCTTATTTGTCATTTGCATATACACTTCAGTGACATATCTGTGTGTTTTGTACATTTTCTGATTGTGTTCTTTATTATTGAGTTTTAGAGTTATTTTTATGTTCTAGATACTAGCCATTAGTCAGGTATATAGTTTGCAAATATTTTCTTCCAGTTTTTAGCTTGTCTTCTTAAAGATAAGCTTTCTGAAGTCTTCTTAAAAGGGTCTTTCATACCTTCTGGATGGGTGAACATGTAGAGGTGCACCCACATCCCTTGCCCTATGCTTCTCTTCCATCTGGCTATTTCTGAGTTATATCCTTTTATAGTAAGCCAGTCATGTAGATTAAGCAAACAAAAATATTGTGGATAATGGGAACCAGAATGCTCATCAATGTGGAAGAGAGTTACAAATATAGAAGAGAACAGAGTGAATCCTGTGGTGATGAACTGGAATTAGAGGTGCAAATGGAAAATGCAGCTTTCACAAACTCATGTTACCATACTAATTATGAAGACTAATTCACTGAAGAAAAAACAGGACAAATCAAGCAACAGAAGACCACGCAGACAAGAAAGAAAACAACTTGCAAGAGAAAATCTGAAATTAAACGTGTGTGGGATTTTCCCTGGGAGGGGGAGGGGAATATATTGGAGGACTCTCTAAATGAAGGGTTCCACATAATTTTTACTACAAATGTTTCATTAGAGTAAAGGCAGTTATCCTCTTGAGCCAAGTTTATTCAACTAATGCAAACTTCCCTATGTCAAATATACCTACTATTAAGAATAAATATAACCGTATCTGAAAAACCAAAAAAAGTGAGTCTTTTATAGAGCAAAGTTTTTGAATTCTGATGAGGCCTTCCTTTTATGGATTATGCCTGTGGTGTCAAACCTGAGAACTCTTTGCCTAACGCTATATTCTGAAGATTTTCCTATGTTTTTCCTAAAAACCTTATAATTTTATGTTTTACATTTAAGTCCGTGGCCCATTTTGAGTTATTTTTTACATATGGTGTGAGGTTTAGGTCAAGGTTCAGTTTTGGTTTGTTTTTTTTCTTGCTTATGGATATCCAGTTGCTCATCCTCATTTATTGAAAAGGCTGTTTTTCCTCTTTCCTTCTTTTCTATGTTTTTCATTAACATCCAGTGAAAGCAAACTGTATAGATTCACATAACCACCATGACAATCAGTGTACAAACAATTCTATCATCTTGAGAAACTCTCACACCACCCTTTTGTCATTAGACTCTTCCCCCACTCCCAACCCCTGGCAGCCACTGATCTGTCCTTTGTCACTATAGTGTTGTCTTTTTAGAATGTCATATAATTATACAGCATTAACTTCTGTTGGTCAGCATAATGCCACTGAAGCATAATGCATCCCAATTGTTACATGTACCGTAGTTCATACATTTTGTTATTTGGGCTTTCCGGTTGTTCTTTGTCGGTAAGTAGAAATGTGATTGAATTTGTGTGTACTCACTCAGTGTTGGAGAGGGCAAAAGCCCTTCCAGGCTCAATTGCTAACCTCAGACAGGCCTGCTATGCTTTTCTGGCTCTTTTGGTGCTGTTGCATTCTCAGGTCCATCAGGCACTGCCTTCTTCTTCTCACCTACACACCAACGTCTTGCAGGTCTTATGGCTGATCTTTTGTACCCACCTGCTTGTATATTGGGGTTTGGGGGGATACCGTGTCACATTAACATTTTGTTCTAAATGTCGTCCGTGAGTTTTTGGTTTTGCCATCTAGCTGTGCTGTCTGTTTTTATGAAGGGATTGTGAGAGGTAGAAGAACAGTATTGCTGACTTTGCCATTTTCTCAGAATTCTTTCTTAACCTTTTTTCTTGATCTAGCTAAATCCTGTATATTCTTTAAAATTCAAACGTAAACACAAACAAACATTCATGTCACCACCATGTTGCTTGGGAAATAAAGCATCACCGAGACCCCTGAAGTTGCCTTCCTGATCACACCATCCTTACTCCCACTTGGGGGTAGCCAGTATCTTGACTTCTGTGATTATCGCCTTGCTTTTCTTTGTAGTTTTACCAACCATGTATGCAAATAAATCCCTAAGCATGTATTTTTATGTGCCTGTTCTACAACTTTATAAAAATGGAATCATGTTGTATGCCTTCTTTGCGTCTTCTATCAACAGTATATTTGTAAGATTTGACTGTAACTGTATTTAAGAGTTTTATTAATTTTCACTGTTGTATATGGCATTCCAGTGCATGAATATACCATAATTTATTTAGTGTTTAAAAAAATTTGTGTCATTTTCTCTTTTCACAATTGCAAGCAATGCTGTACACATATCCGTTTTTGCAAAGTAGTTGTACCAATTTGCATTCCCACCAACCAGAATATGACAGTATCCATGGCTACAAATCCATGGTAACATTTAATATTGTCAGAGTCTTAAATTTTTGCCTATGTATTTGGTATGTCATTGGTGTTTTGTGCTTTTTCACTTGCATTTCCCTGATTATTGGTGAGGTTGATAACCTTTTCAATATTGAGTGGTCATTTGGATTTCAACTTCCATGAATTGCTTGTTTATCTTCCTTGCCCATTTTTCTATTGTGAGATACATAGATAGACGGATAGATAAATAGATATAGATAGATGTACACACATTCGCATACACACACATGTATATACATATATATATATGTGTGTATATATATATATATACACGTGTTTACACACACATATATTGGATGCAGTTCCTTTGGTGATTTACGTGGCAAATACCTTCTCCCACTCTCTAGACCTTCAGATTAAGAGGTGTACAATCAATGTACATGAGAACCTGTATGATGGAAGTGTGAAAAGGAATACAATACCTGTTTAGGATTGACTGTGAAATGTAGTCCACAGTATTTGATGAATTCACGTAGTGGCTAATAAAAAATTAATGCAATGAATTAAATAAGAATGGAAGATTAAAATGGGGCCATGTGAATATACTGTAATGATGGGAATTAGAAAATTGATATACCCAGATTTCCTGTCCAGCACATGTATGATTTATTTGATCAGGGTCTTGTAAATATGCCCACTTACTAATTGGCATGAAAATAAGAGGTAATTTTAGATATTTCCAAGTCTGCAAGTAAAGGTTTTGAAATATGGTGTAAAGTGACCACCCAGATCTTTACAGGGTGCTTTCTGATCCTAAACTAATTATGGACTTTGGGTTCTCTTCCACTCCTAACCTGTGTTTACATCAGGGAAGTATCTACCATCTTCCTGTTTTTAAAGGGAGGCAATTTTCTACCAGGACCTGAAATATGAAGTGAAATTAGTCTTTGGACCATGGCACCAGGGGGAAAACCTAGTCCAAGAAGTAATTAACAACAGGCCCTGACAGCTGGAGTTAACCCCATAGGCAATATGGGAATATCCATCAAGTTAAATGGGGCCTTGATACTGTGCCAAACATTCTTTTTCCTAAATTTCTGGCAGTAGTGTAGGTCTTTCATTTATTATCTAAATTGTTATAAAATTAATTCTTACCTTTAAATTTAAGGCTTGAAAATAGATCATATGATTCATAATCCACTTTAGTAGTATACTTAAGCATTATAAAAATGTTTATATATTTTTAAATGTTAATTTAATCCACTAGTTTTTATTTGGTATTATAGATAAATTGTAAACTGCTTTAAAACAGATCACAGATGCATTCTATTTTTGTTTTACTAGAAACTGTAAATTATTTTTTAAAATTCCTTCATTAACTAGATATATAGGTTTCTTTTTCTTATCAAACAGATAATAATTTGAATGTAATTTTATTAATTATTTTTTCTTCGTGTATATTGCCTGTTTATATTGTATAAGTGAATGTGATTTCAGGCAGTTGATATATCATAGAATAACATTGGAAGGAGGGGCTAGGCAGCAGAAAAAGAAGAAATTATTAGAAAAGAGATGTGGCAAGACTGATAATTGTGAGCGTAGATATTATACATTTGGTAGCGTTTTGATTTTTGAGGCTTATTGTCTAGTTTAATCTTAAATTTGTTTTTCCTCCAACTAGGGCACCGAGATTCTGTGTTACTCATTCATCCTCAACAAAACATGCTAGTGCTGAACTGAAATTCTGGCACCTTCGTCAAGAGAAACCAAGGAAAGATGTCGACCCTTTTCCACAAATGGCAACCCTCTTGCCATTAAGACCTAACTCTTGCATTCCACAGATACCTGAGATGCAGGTAGGATGTACATTGATACTTTGATCTCTTAAGTTTGTAATAAAATATCCATGCTTGGGTTTTGTACACTAATACTTAAGTTTCATCATAAACCTTTTGTTGTTGTTTTTGCTTGTCGTTAATGTACGTGCTGCAACAATTAGGAAATAAGAAAACCTATGGTTTGTTCTCCACCAATCAGCCAATGTGATCTTTTAAAAATGCATGATCATGTACTCACTTGCTCAAAAACTCTCTAGTGGCCTCCTCTCTCACTCAGAATACAAGCCAAAGTCTTTACACAGCTGTTCACACCCCTGCTGACTTCCTGACCTTATTTCCTAGCATTCTTCTCTAGCTTACACCACTCCACACTGGCCTCTTTGCTGTTCTTGGAACACACCAAGCAAAAACCTGGAAGGGCTGCACTTGCTGTTCCCTTCCCTTGCAGCACCCTTCCTCCGGATATGTTGCCCCTCACTCACTTTGTTGTCTGCTCAGATATCCCTTAATCAGAGAAGCTATCCTTGACTCTTCCATGTGGGCACACTTGTGGAGGACAGCACAGATACCCTCCCTCACTATCGGAGCCCTCTGCTCTGCTTTACTTTGCTTTATTGTACTTAAGACCATGTGATCTATGTTTATTGTCTTTCAGCTCCTACTAGAATATAAGGGATTTTTCTTCGTTAACTGCTTTTCCTCAGTGCCTAGAACAGTGCCTGGTGCTTAATAAATGTAAACTGAACAAATGAGTGAAAAGTAGCAACAGCAAAATTAGAAATAGTGAGCATTTTTTCGCAATGGGGAAGAATAAGATAGTACAAAAAATGGGGAAAAGTCCACAAAGAGAAGAAAAGTTAACCAGCTTTACAGAGAAGAAGTAAATAATCCTATATGCTTTGGCATAGAGATATAATAAATGTACCTAACACCTGCATTTCAGAAGTAAGGAGCCTTATTAATCTTTCTAGCTTTAAAGGTGTCACAGAACGTTAAGTGTTATTAGCCATAGCCACACACAAACCCTTCAAAAAAAAGATTACTTTATGATCAGGATATCTTATTTTTAAAAGTCAGGAAGATGTATAATTACAGTTTTTAAAATTCTGCTTCTACAAGTAGTGCTTTAGAGCTGGAAATACCTTACAGTTTTTCTATTAGTGATTTCTTAATCCTGTATACATACTAGAATCACATAGAGAGTTTTTAAACATACTGGTGCCTGGGTCCCACCTTCAGAGAGTCTGATTTAATTGATATAGACTGGGTGAGAGTCACTGTAAAATCAGGAGGTTGGCTTAGAATTGAAGTTCTCATCCTGCCTGAACATTAGAATCACATTTTAGAACCTACATTTTAATAAGACTCCTAGGTGATGTGTAGGCAAAGCATTGCTACAGGCTGGTGGTTCTCAAGCTTCAGCATGTGTGAGTCACCTGAGTCCGAATAGAGACTTCAGGGCTGCACTTAAAGATCAGTATTCAGTAGGTCTGGGATGGGACCCAAGGATTTGCATATCTAACAAGCTCCCTCCCACGTGATGTTTTTGCTGCTGGTCTGGGGACCACACTTTGAGTTAGTGTCACTGTAGTGAGCTAATGGTTTCTTATCCATTGTTTAGACATTTTTCTGACCTCCTTTGCACTTGTGGCCTTTTTGTATGCCACTCTACTGATAAATCTGAGCTTCCTTGTTAGCCCACGTGACTTTGTGACCCAGTCACAAACCTTAGAGGTGTGGTGTAGGGAGCACATCATCTGATAACATTTGGCTTTCTGAGTACCATCACCATATGTTGTCATCGGTGTTTTCTAGTTGGATAACTAATTCTGATCTCATTCTGTTTCCCCCGCAGAAAACAGTGTAAGGAATGGAACTCGATTCTGTTTTCTTTATTTTTCCTGTTTTAAAAGTTGAGATATCATTTATGTAGAGTAAAATTCACCCTTTTTAGTGTACTGTTCTGTAATTTTTGACAAATATATACATTGTGTAGCTACCATCACAGTCATGATATAGAGCAGCTCCTTAACCCACCCCCCAATTCTACTGTGCCCTTTTGTCAGTTTTTTCTCTGTCAGTTTCTTTTTGGCTACTTTTTTTGCTTTCTCCCAAGCCAGAAAGCTCAAAAATTCTAATTTAGGCCATCCTCTCATTTTAAGTATAATACACTTAAAATTTTTTTTTATATTAAGGAAACTTTTTTATTGTGGTATGGTAAAAAGCACATAACAAAATTTACCGTCTTAACCATTTTCAAGTGTACACTGAGGTAGTAAGTATATTTGCATTGCTGTGAAACAGGTCTTCAGAACTATTTTATCTTGCAAATTTGAAACTATATACCCATTAACCAACCCCTCCTGCATCCCCTGGTAACCACCATTCTACCTTGTGTCTATGAATTTGCCACTTCTGTATGATACACTTTTCATAAGCCCAGTCCCCTGTGGTCCCACTCATTTAGTGAGTATTGGTTAATGTCATGCTTTGTTCCGAATTACTAAAGCAGATGTGAGCCCTGACACCTAGAATGTTATAAGTAAAACATACTTAAGTAATTAATTTTGTTTATAGAATTCTTAAAAAAATATGAGTAGCTGTTAGGCACCTAGAGTGTATATGAGATTTTATTGTTTGTTTTGGATAATAAAGCATCACAAATAAATTTCTTGCTCTCCAGCAGCACATATTACATTCTAATTGAAGTTGACATGTAAGAAAAGTTTGTTTCTTTTTCAAATTATAAAAATAATAAAACTACTGTAAATGTGGAAACTGAAGAGACAAATCACTCTGATCTCACCGACTTCTAGACAACTATTAACCTATTTTCTCTTAGGCTTTTTGTGAATTTTTAATTGTAATATACTTATATTTTTAATATACTTATATTTTTAATTGTATAATATACAATTTTTAATTGTAATATACTTATATCTTTCGATTCTGGTAATTTCTTCAGTATTTTTCCATAATTTTCATAATCCTTACTTTTAAGTATTATATAATGTTACATTTATATATTATATATATAAATACATGTATAAGTATATATAATTGTTTCTTTCTCCTCTCTTTGGACATTTAGGTGTTTGTATTTTTTTGATTCATGTATGTAGCATCTCATGTTCTAGATTTAAATAATTAACTTTTGCCATAAAGAACATTTAAGAATGAGAAGAATACGCATGAAAATAAAATATCCAAAAATGGAAGGAAATAGTTCTGTTAAGATATAAGTCTCTTATGGACCAATGGTGTCCACACATCTTTTCCCGCCCTGCTACCTGCATTCCCTACCCCACCACACACACATACACACACACACAGGGCACTAAAACTTATTCAGTTACAGAATAAAGAAAAGTTTTTACAAAGTTCTTCCTCCAGGAAAGAGTCTTTTTTCATAATAACATAAAGCCTTTGGCCTTGTTTTTTTAATACTCTCAATAGGTATAGGGATTTCAGCCTGCTGGTTACATGAAAGTTGGAGTTTGAGACGGAGAATAAAAAATATTCTCCGTCTCAAACATAGTATGGTAAGTGGTAGAGTGAGGAAAGAAATCCTCCAATCAAAACAATTTTGAGGTATTTTTGGAGAGCTGTGCTTTATTCTCTGTCCTTTTTATCCCATTTTGCCCATTTTTCACTTTGTTCATTATCTTACTACTTTTTAGAAAGAAGAATCCAGTTTATTACAACTTTCTAAATCTCTCAAGAAACCACCTAGAGTAAAAACAGCAATTCAAAAACCTTGGAAGAGTGAGTCTTTGAATCCAGTTTTTCCTAAGGATGATGTGATTAAGAAAGGGTAGGTGCAGCTTTTTGTGTCCCAAGTGCTTTTCTGCAATGATAAGATTTTTGAAGAATTTAAAAATTAAATAGAAATTGAAAACTAATACTTTTCTTTTTTTACATGAGTTCTTATATTTCAGGGATAGATATTAGAGGGTTGTATTTCCCATGCATACTCTAATTAATCGTAGAACGCCTAAGACTGGTAATTTTAAAGAGGTGGTAGTTATGATCTCTAGCTTCTCATGAGCTGTACAATCAAAAGACGTCTCTGAGAAGATTGCCCTTCAATTCTTTCTTTTCCCTGCTCAGTAATATTTCTCAAGCTTGAGAACTCAAAATACCCTCAATAATATTGTACTTATTTAATACAGTATATTTTAAAAATTCGTTTAGATTTGCCCACCTATTTACGCTTTTCATTGTTCTTTATTTCAAACGGAGTTATTTTCCTTCAGCTTGAAGAAGTACCCTTTGGTGTTAACTTTGGTGTGTAGTCTGCTGGTGGATAATGATTTGTTTAAGGATTTATTACTTCACTTTTATTATTCTTCATTGAGATAAAATTTACCTGTCGTAAAATTCACTGTTTTAATCATGTTCAGGTATACAATTCAGTGACTTTTAGTATATGCACAAAGTTGTAAAACCATCACCACTATATAATTCTACAACAACTCATCAGCCAAAAGAGAAGCTCCATCTCATTAACAATCACTCCTCACTCTTCCCTCCCCCAACCCCCGGTAACGTCATCTACTCTCTGTACCTTTCCCTTCAAAGGAGAAGAGAGGGAAGGGTTCAGTAACCAAGGCAATGGGGCTACCTTGGACAGGAAATAGGACACTTCTTCCTGAGACAGGATGGAAGGAAGTATGGGTGGGTGTAGGTAAATATATCTGTTGATAGATAAATTTGAATGCTTTCAGCTGCAAATAACAGAAAAGTTGACTAACAATGGCCTAGACAAATGGAATTATGTTTTTCACAGAGCAAGAAATCTGAGTGTAGGCAACTGCCAGTATTGGTTCACCAGATCAGGAGTATTGAGGCCTAAGTCTTTGTAATGCTCTTGGCCATTCCTTTATAGTCAGTGGTGTTACAGCTCCTGACATCAGGCTTTCAAATCATAAAGAAGGAGGAGGGGCAATATCCATTAATTCTCTCCCTGTAGTCAGGAAAGCAGGCTTTCATAGAAGCTCCCCAGCAGACATCGTTTTATATCTCAGTCATAACTGTTACATGACAACCCCTCCCTACCTGGAGTCTTGATAAGTGAATATTCAGCTTTTTCAGTATTTTAGTGATGCTGGTGATAGAATCATGTTGTCAGAAATGGGTGTTGAGTTAGCCAGTCAATTAATAGTGTCTGCTACATGGCACAGGGGAAACTGAAGCATGATGTACCTACATTTTGTCTGAGAAGAACCTGCAGAGTAATCTGCTGGTGGATTGGCGTGGAGGAAGGCTGGTGAGTTGGAACAGGCATGGGTTATGGAGCTGGAAAATGAGGTTTGGAAGAATTGCAGTGGGCTATGGGAGAGGGAGCTGGATGAGAAAATATAAAAAGCTAATGTTGAAAGTCATTAGTCTAACTCCAGAGTCTTCCATCATCTCATCTCAAACCACCACATATAAACCCTTATGAATCCCACCTGTTGTGAGGATTAAATATGATCATATGAATTATATTTGGCACAATGTTTGGTATGTAGTTTAGCTGTTAGTGTTCTCTTGCCCTAAGAAAATTAGTTAACTTGCTGCATTTTAAACAAGACTTTGCCTACTTACCTTCATACATTGTTCACTCTTCTCACCATCTGAAGAACCCCTCTAAACACAGCCCCCCCACACACATACACACAGAATTTATCTTCCACCCATTACTCAGGAAGAAGCTCATTTCTTTAATTACTAATATAGCTCCAAGGGACTTCTCATTCTTACACACCCATAGTTTTATTATCCGTCCCAGACATTTGGCATCTGTGATATGTTCACGAATTCATTCAACCAGCAGTTATTTTATTGAGAGTTGTCTTTATGTATGACTGTACCTCATTTTCTCAACTGCCTCTTGAGGGCTGGACTTGATGCTGATACTTTTTTTTCTAATTCTCTCACAATGCTTAGGAGCACGCCTAAGATTCGGTGAATGTATACCAAAGGTGCTCAAAATATTTGTTGATCAATTAGTTCTCATCCCTATAATTTAGGTCAAGGCACATGTCAGAAAGCAGCAAAATTATTTGTTTAGCATCTTTTACTGACATTTCTGAATGTCTGAAGCCCCAGCTGGGTAGAAGATATACTTATACAGAAGAACCTGTGGTAAGTATTTTGAGAACTGAGTAATTTGATTCCTCATTTAACCTATTCAGTGTCCCCTGATTTTAGAGAATTTTTAGTGATTTACCATAATGACTTTTTTCTTTACTGAACAAAAGAATTATTTTTTCCTTACAAAAGGATTTTTATGCAGAAACTTTCTATTTCCTTTTGTAGTACCATGTTGCTGTGTACTCTGTTGATTACTGTTTTCAAAAACAGCTACATTCTCGTTTTGGTATGATCACACCTCAGACACAAAATAAAGCCCTCTAGGATTTTTATTACATTTTTAACATTTTATATAAAGTAATATTCTATGTTATGTTTTGGAAGTATGTTTAGAACTTTTATAAAGCAGAGTATTTCCAGTGTGTGGTTACTTTGATAATATGGATTTAATACACCAGTTCTAAATGAAAATTTCACATTCTTTAGCAATTATACTTTAGGTAGAAACTTTCGTAGTCCTAGTATGGACTGAACATTTGCATATAATTTTGGACTATTTATTTTATTCTAAGAAAACAGTTCTCCTTTTCTTCTATTTAGTATTATTTCCTACCCAAATAATGATTTTTTAGCTTTGGAATGCTAATGGTTAAACATCATAAAAACATTAAATTTTCACCTCAGAATTTGTTTAGTAGGGGGATAAAGGGAGAGGCAGAGAGACACTATAACAGAGAGAGCAAGAACCTGACTTAAACCCTAAATCGTCCATTCCACAGTTATCTTAAGATTACAAAGAAGTAGTCTGAGTTCCACACAACAGATAGCAAAGAGCTCATGTGAATATGGACGCCCTTCCTTATTCTAGAGTTACTCTTGTGCTTGGAGAAATAGCCAGCTTTCTGTGTTTCAAGAACGGTGTTAGGCTTGCCAGCACTGTTGGCAGAGAAGCCCATAAATAGCAAAGTTTTATGAGAACTTATACTGCCATTTACACTCTGAAGGCCGTGACCTGTATGGAGTGAGACTGTCCAAAGAGGGACCCCGTAAGGACAGTTAATGAGCATCACTGAGAGGCCTTGAAGATATTTCTTTTTATAACTCTCTTGTAGCTATTATAGCAGCGGTTCAAGGCTAAAATAACAGTAAATACGTAGGAAAGAGGCCACCAACAGAGATTTGGAAGACTCCTAAAATGGTGTCACGGTGCCTGAAATGTGAAAATAGTTGAGGTTGGGAAGTCAGTTTAATATTAAGTTTGAAATCAGATTAGTTTATAATAGAATGAACTCTGCTGCTATAGTTGGCTCCATAAACGAATCTTGTGGGACAGGCAGATGCAAACATACTGCATTAATTACATATATGGTACAAAAATAAAATAAAATAGTCCAGTGGGGAAATGACAGCTTGGTAGAATTTATGAAACCCTGTTGTTGTACAATGCCATAAAAAAATAACAATGTTTCTGGGTGGATAATGTACTTCTGTTTTGTTATCTAGATTAAAACCATGGCAGATGGTGCCTTGGGAGGATTTCACATGGAAAATTTGTTGCAATCTTTGTATGTAGAAAATAGAGCTGGATTCTTCTTTACTAAATTCTGTGAGAACTCAGGGAACAAGGTAGAAGATAATTATTTTAAATCTAATTTTATACTTTTACTTCATTTAAAATGAGAGATTGAAATAATTTAATGCTCAGATAGTTATATTTGATGTTAAAATTCCCATCTCCTCTGGTAAGAAATCTCATGTTAAATATTTAGTAAAATTTTAAATATCTTAATTATAATTCTCTTTGGTTCATTTTCCTACTAAAATTACAAAGAAAAGTAAAATACAGATAGACAAGAATTGACTTGCATTATTAATAATAGATTACTTTCATATAACTTTGTTTCAGTGTAATGTATATTAACTTCAGTGCTGATTTCTATCAATCCTTTATGTTTTATTTTTAATAAGTCTAACAATGACAGTTGCAATGAATAGTAACAAACTTTTTCTAGGTTTTTTGTTTGCTTGTTTTTTAGTTGTCACAAACAGTCTTTATTTTGCTCAAATGAAAAGTATTTCACTAGCTCAATTATTAGAGTTGTGTTTGCTTCTGGTATAATATATATTTGCCCACATATATCAGAATACCTTCAGATTTTGGTTTCATGCCAGAGATAACGTGATTACTTTTTAATTATTAACTAGAACACTTACTATTTTAATGACCAATTATGTGAGAAACGTATATACAAAAATATAATGATCCAGTGACAATACCAATAAATAATTTGTATGTTGCCAGTTTGTGATATAAGATAAAACCGCCTTAAATTGAACCTGATTTATAGTAACACCAAGGAGCTAAACAATTATTTTTATTTGAAATTAGAGCTTTGTAGAGCTTTAATAATTGGGTGGTAGTAATTTATGTACTTTTTCCATCTGCAGTTGTGGAAGAACAGTGTGTACTTTTGGATTGACCTACAAGCTTATCATCAGCTTTTCTACCAAGAAACAATTCACCCTTTTAAAGTATGCAAGCAAGCTCAAGTAAGTAGTAAATAATGTTGGTTCAATGTGAAGCACTAAGTACACAGAAATGAAAAGTTGTGTCCAGCCTCAAACAAGAGAAATCTGGGAGTGTGGGCAGAAAGGCAGCAGCTAAATTGTTGCCATTGAGTTAACTTTATTTAAATGTCAGCAGAATATTGTTTTATAATCTGATTTGTGGGTTCTCAGTTTTATCTATTTTATTTGGTATGCCTTATTTTCTCTTTGCTGCCGATTAATTGCTCTTCCAACAAAGGACCTCTTATCTTTTTTTCTAATTTATGCCTTTTTGGTTTGGCTGTGAGTAATTTAAAAGAGAACCCTGAGAGAGGACTTGTAATGAATCACTGAAGTGATTGGGAGCAGAGGCATTGACCAAAGATGTTCTCTGAGCTTCCTGCAGCAATCAGCTGTTGGAGATACTTAGGCTATTGGACCATCTAAAGATGGGGAAAGAATGTTGACTGATTCTGTGTGGCATAGGCCCTGTGTCATCACCTGGCCTTCTGTGCTACATGCTATGTAAGACAGATACTCAGAGTTGGAGGAAAGAACATCTTAAGACCTCTCCAAAGCAAAATAGAGGACAGAGAACAGAGGATTCTCTGCAAAGAGAAAGAGAGAGTAGCCATTTTTTGAGGGGAGAAAGAAAGGGAATAGAATTATGACTCAAGCTAACTTATCTTTTCAGTTTTTATTCTTAGGCTCTCCTAATCTTTTATGGAGAGAGGTCATCAAGCCTAGAAAACTGCTGATCACTTCTATATCTGTTGACCACTTAAGTGGTTCTTATAATCTGAAATAACCCCATTCCAGGGGACCTTTCCTTGAGCAATGCTGAGGAGATTAGCTTCGTCATATTGTTTATTATCGTATTATAATCTTATTCAGGACATCAGAGAGTACTCCTGGGTGTTTGCTGTTACCTCCACCACCCTGACTTTGGCATTAATAACTATGTTTTATAAATCAGCTGACAGAACTTTGTACTTTTTACCATGAGAATTAGGGCTTCGGTTCCTACAGAGCCCAGATCTGGCTCCATGAAATCATGAAACTGTATCTCTAATTTGCCAGTACCATTTTCTGAGACCACACAATTGGCTCTTCTGCTTGTTAATCCTTTACCTGTAATTCTCTACTTATCCTCCTTTCCCTAACCTATTGCCTCTGACTGCTAAAGTGCCACCATTTTTTTTATGTTTTCACCACTACAAGGCTGACTCCTCTAAAAATCTTCAGCAGCTCACTCAGTTAAGTAGGTTTTTTTGTTGCTGTTGTAATCACAATATTTCCATATACTTGTAAAAGGGGAAATTCTGTTTGAGCTTGGTAGACGTTAATTCTTTGTAATGGTATTCAACCAGCTATAAATGATTGTGAAACAGGATACACTCACAATTTTGTTATTCTGAGATATTCTGTTTGGGGATTATCGAGGCCCATAAGCTTTTTATCCTTCCGTAGCTTCTCTTTTGAAGAGTCAAAACAGTATGGGGGGAAGGGAGTGATGGAAACATTGGTTTTAGTTTAACTGGGGGAAATAAAAGGAGCAAATCATGTAATCTTTTTGACTTGCTTGCTTTTTGCATCTGTGGTTATTTTATTTTTTGGTTAGTGGAGCAATTGTCTAAATTGGTTTAGGTTTTAATTATCCAAGATTTCTGCCCCCGGATATAAGAATTGCTTCTAATACCATGGTCCTATAGATTTGTTTCACAACATGAAATACCATTGGTTTCTTTATAATAGAAATGCTGTATAACTTCCTTCAAGGGTACATGTACAATACAGATCTTTGGATTGATCAAGCCAATGGCAGAATATAATCAGCTGGCACTGTGTTAAAGTTGCCATTAACTTGATTTTTTTTTTTTTTTGCGGTACGTGGGCCTCTCACTGTGTGGCCTCTCCCGTTGCGGAGCACAGGCTCCGGACGCGCAGGCTCAGCAGCCATGGCTCACGGACCCAGCCGCTCTGCGGCACGTGGGATCTTCCCGGACCAGGGCATGAACCTGTGTCCCCTGCGTCGGCAGGCAGACTCTCAACCACTGTGCCACCAGGGAGGCCCTAACTTGATTTTTATATTGTCTTTGTACATCTGATGAGCTGCGTGGTAAGAGACCAGGGGTTGATTACAAAAGACTTACATGCTTTTCTGTATGCTGATCGACACATTACATACCTTGAAGTTTTATTACCTCAAGAAGTATTGCAGAAATATCTGTGGGCAGACTAGATGGGAGGTCAGTGATAGTGATTTAGCATGACTAACTGTGTTCCAGGAGTTTGAACGACAGTCTTGGGCACATCCTGAAGGTTTCATTGCACAGCTTCCAGATAGAATCGTTCAGTTAGGAACCAAATGAAATGGTCTTGGCAAGGAGGAAGAGAAGCACCACCAGAGTGCAAAGATACAGTCTTTGATCCTAGCAACAACTTGCCAGTGGACCATCTATCACTGCCAAGATTTGGAACCAAGATTTCTGCCAATAGTCCTACTGTTTTTTTAACATTACATACTTGCTTCAGTGAGACCATTACAATAGAATGAAGTGGATCTGGGTACCACAGTCTTTTGTAAGTTCTTCCATCTTTGTAGAAATCTTTCAAACTGTATCCCAACAAAAACTACACATTTAGAAATTTACCACTCTCCAAAGCATATACATTGGGATTTTAAAAAAATTAGTAAAAAAAGAAAGTATTATACATGTTTACACATATGTATACATACACACAAACATGTTCAAAATAAAAAATCAGTGGGAAGGAGGAAGAGAGAAAAAAAGAGTAAAAATTAGAGCCTAGGAGCAAAATTATGTGGAGAATGTAGGAATTAATGAGTAGAGAGGGTAGATAAGAATGAAATGAAAGTGAGGAATAAGAGGATTGCTAGGTAAATCCACGGCACTTTTACCACAGAGTGCTATTGAATATAAAGATGTTCTTGTAGCAATGTGAGACTTTTGCCTTATTGAATTGAACATCAGGGTAACACATTTTTAAACTGAAGTATAGTTTATTTACAATGTTTCAAGTGTACAGCAGTGTGATTCAGAATATATATATATTAATTTTGTTTATACCCAGTAAGTAGTCTCAACTATTTTTTTATTACCATCAATGATGTATAGATTTATTTAGTTATTTATTTAACATCTTTATTGGAGTTTAACTGCTTTACAATGGTGTGTTAGTTTCTGCTTTATAACAAAGTGAATCAGCTATACATATCACGCACAAATTTCTTGCTTACCATTGGTTTTTGCATCACATTCCTTCCTTTGGGTTTGATTTCTGAAGAATAGCTTTTAATAGGTTTTTCATTAGGATTTACTAGTGGTAAAAATCAGATTTTTTTGGTCTGAAAATGTGTATTTTCTTCTCTCATTGATCATTTAGCTGAATCTAGAATTCTAGGTGGACAATTTTCTCTCAGCACTTTGCAGATATCATTCTACTGTCTTCTGGTTTCTATTGCTATTGTTGAAGAGTCTGCTTTTGCTCCCTTGAGGGAGGATGTTTTTTCTCATTCCTTTTATAATCTTCTCTTTGACTTTGGGGTTCTGTATGTCACCTCAATGTGTTTATTACTACAATTATCTTTCTTGGGTCTAAGTTGCTTCTAGAATCTGAGGAGTCATGTCTTTCATCAATTCTGGAAAATTCTCAGCCATTATTTCTTTCAGTCTTTCTACTTCTCTTTTCTGGATTCTCTGGTCAATGTTGGTGCTTTTCAGTCTATCCCATATCTCTCTTAATCTCTCAAGTTTCTCCATCTTGTAATATCTGTGTTATATGTTTTAAAACTGAACAAGATCAATTTTCTTTGATCTGTTTTCCAGTTCATATTTTATTTCTTCAGCAGATTTCAATCTGCTGTTTAACCCATCCATTGAGTTAAATCATTTAAGGAATTACTTTTTATTATTATTAGACATTCTACTTGTGTTTTTTAAATCTTCCTGGTGATTTATCTTTTTGTCTTATTTTTCTTCATGTTTTTAGTTCTCCTTTTATGTCTTAAGCATTTTAAACATATTTTATAGTCTGTAGCTGTGTTAGGTATCTATTCCTACATAAGGGTATTATCACAACTTTGTGGCTTAAACAACACACCTTTATTACCTCACAGTTTATACGGATAAGGAGTCTGGGCACAGCTTTGCTGGGTCCTCCACAAGGCTGTAAATCAGGATATTGACCAGGGCTGGTTTCTCATCTGGGGCTCACCTAGGGAACAGTCTTCTTCAGTGCTCACATGGTTGTTAGCAGCATTCAGTTCCTTGCAGACCACCAAAATAAGAACTCATTTTTTGTTAGCTGTCAGCTAGCAGCCACTTCGGCTCTGTGCCATGTGGTCCTCTCCATATGGTAGCTCACAACATGGCAGCTTGCTTCTCCAAAACCAGCAAGGGAGGGAGTTTCTTAGTAAGACTGGCATTACTGTCTTATGTAACATAATCATGTACACGTAATCACATAAATCTCATTGTTGCTGCATTCTGTTGGTTAGAAGCAAGCCATACGTTATGCCCACACTTAGGGGGAGAGGGTTATGAAAGGGAATGAACACTAGGAGACACTGTTCATGGGTGCCACCCTAGAGTCTGGCTGCTACAATATCCAATAATTCCATGATTTGTAGTTCTTGGGAGAACTAATTCTGCTATTTATTATTTCTGCTGACATGGTGGATTCTTTCCTTCTGTGTTTTGTAATGTTGAATTATGAGCTCTTATAGTAAAGTTTTTATCTGTGGTGCTTCTGTTAGGCACATTTTTAATGCTAATTTGTCGTCTTGGGGTTTCCTCATTTGCCAAGTGTAATCTTGAAAACCACACCCACATGATGGTAAACTCATGATAGTGCATCCTCAGGAGATATTTTTCTTTTACATAGAGTATAAGCCAAGACAAGCAAGCTTCTTTTTTGTTTCCTAGGTTTGGTAGTTGTATATATGTACATTTTTTCCCACTCTGTGTTTCACTTTGTGT